TCTGCAATTCTTATGTTATTTTGATGTGATTAATGCTTCCGAGGGATCACTTTGTTTCCAGAATTTTGTACTTCACAACAGCAGGTGTCAAGTGCCGTGTGGCAGCCGTAAAAAGTTGCCCCGTACTTCACTTCAGTGTTGTTATATTTTCTGGTCCTTCGGGATCATTGATGCCAACACTATAAAGTGTTGAGAATTGAGTACCGCTCAAGCCGGTGCTAGGGGGCGTGAGTGATGTTGCACCTATTCATTATCACTCATGTACAGACTCAATCAAATAATATAGATAAATACAGAATCCCTAAAGAAAGCCCAACACGGCAAAATTGAAAATGTTGCAGGCTCGGTTTGATTGAGCCTGTTCATGGACGGTACTGGAAAGTGCAAGTTACCGTCCACGCCCCCTAGCACCGGCTTAAGCAGAATTCAACATTTAAACGTGAAATAGTAAAATTTTGAATTTAGAAACATCCGCAGATGTGTTCATACGGCGGTTATCATGGAACCTTCAATGTGACACTACCGTGCCATTCCATGAAAAGCGGCGTATGGTCCCCAAGTAATAAAAAGCGTGTGCCCTAAACGAGAAAACAATGGGCGGAACTAAATAAAAAGGAATTTTGATAGGGGATCAGAGGTTGTGAAGCCTGCGTATCACAGATAAGACGTCAAAAGACAAATTTAAAAAGCAGGCAACATATCCTTAGGGTGATTCAACATTATTCAAGTAGGAATATTGGAACCACCCAACTAGAAAATGCCGAAAAGTTGAAACTAAAAATACCACAAGCACAACAATATTGTCGTGCTGAACGATCTTCAAGGATCGAAAATATAACATCATTGATTAAATGTACGGGGAGACTTTTTACAGCCGCCACACGGCACAAATAACACGGATGTGATCATAAAATAGATAAATACAGAATCCCTAAAGAAAGCCCAACACGGCAAAATTGAAAATGTTGCAGGCTCGGTTTGATTGAGCCTGTTCATGGACGGTACTGGAAAGTGCAAGTTACCGTCCACGCCCCCTAGCACCGGCTTAAGCAGAATTCAACATTTAAACCGAGTCTGCAATTCTTATGTTATTTTGATGTGATTAATGCTTCCGAGGGATCACTTTGTTTCCAGAATTTTGAATCTGGAGTTTCCGGCCTTCTCTTAACTTATATTTTTAAAGGGGGTCATTATTTACAATTTTGTTTTGGTTTTTGACACTTTTAAGATGAACACATTTTTTTTATCAATCTGGTCATTTTATCTTCCCAGGCCCGATACTGGTGCCTGTGTGACAGCCATCAGCACGAAGAACAAGTAAACAACCCAGCGTTCCTGAGCCAGCTTCCAAGTTTTCCATTTTCCTGACTGCTTTTTTGAATGTTTTTACATCTCTCAACACTTATTTTTTGTCTGTTACAATCCTCAAATAAGTTTTCTTTCTTTTAAAAAGGTGTATGACTAACAAATCCAAATGATATAACTCTGAATCAAACATATATCCCTCTGAATCTGAATCTCATGAACTTTAAAAACATTATTCTCACTCGTGGCTGTTTTTGAAGCCCACTCGATGAAATAAAATGAAAAGGAACTGTCTGCTGACCATAAGCCTCCACAGGTAGTTCAAAGTTCGTCTTATATCTTTTATTTACCTGCCCCCTTTCCCGGGTCTCATGTCCCCTTCCCCTGTATCCTTTGACCTTATGGGCCTATTAATCAATCATTTATTTATTTTCGTTGTGTTACTAGTACTAATCAGTTATTAATAATTTCTTCTTATGTATGAGTTAATCAATGATGTTATATTTTCGATCCATGAAGATCGTTCAGCACGACATTATTGTTGTGTAAACATGTTAGATGGTATTTTAGTTTCTTGTATTTGGCCTTTTTCAACTTGGTTGGTTCCAGTATTCCTACTTGAAATTTCCAGTACCTTCCATATACAGGCTCAATCAAACCGAGCCTTCAACAGTTCAGCTGGACAGATAATCCCACAATATTTTGTATTCCCAGGAAAGCGCATGAGGCCAGAGCTTTAAGCAGGATCATCATCTGGTGCTAAAGGAACTGTCAGTGAAACTGGATGGTCCAATGGTGTAATTTTCAGGGATCTTGAAAACCATTTTCTGAAATATGTTCCTGGTGGGAGTAACCAGAAAGTGCTTCTGATAGTTGATGACCATACGTCGCATGTAACTGTTGGTCTTTCTGATTACATCTGACGGACCAAGTGGGAGACTCTATGATGGACAGTTCTTTCAGCCCTTTGGGACTGAATTGCCTTAATGTTCGTCTTCCGTCTTGCTTCAGCGGGCCCTTGTAGGTGATTTTCGTGTTGCTCTGTCTTCCTTTAAGAAATTGGGTGCTTTTGTTATGGTCATTGGGTATACTTTAATATGTTTCTACATGATCATTTTGGTGTTTCACTTATTTAACCTTTTGTAACCGTAACAACTGTTAGAATTTCACTTGAAGGGGGTTCATTTTATTTACACTGTCTCGTTTATAGGAACATGGTGGGGCTAAGAGCGAGGTTTGGTGCACCATTAACCGGTTTAAACTTCCCAGCAGTATGTATGCTGCTGACCGTCCCTGTGTTCCTCAGATGTATGTCTATGTTAATTCATATTGTTTTGGTGACACTTGTGTCCCTTGTTGTTTCTCGTCTACGGTAAGTATCTTCCCCCTTGTCTCTAGTTTTTGTTTGTTTTGATTATCCCCAACCTTCCCCGGGTCTCCTGTCCCCTTTATGGGCCTATTATTCTATCATTTATTTGTTTTCTTTTAGTTCCTTATCAGTTACTAATAATTTATGATTTTTGTGGTAAATAATTCTGGAAACAAAGTGATCCCTCGGAAGCATTAATCACAACAAAATTACAAGAGAATTGCAGACTCGGTTTGATTGAGTCTGTACATGAGGGATAATGAAAACGTGCAACATCCCTCACGCCCCCTAGCACTGGTTTGAGCGGTACACAATTCTTAACACTTTTTAGTGTTGGCATCAATGATCCCGAAGGACCAGAAAATCCATCACATTTTCGAGGGCTCATTCACATTGCCGATGGTGCCAGCACCTTGTCGATGGCTCGATCACAGTAATAAAAATGTGATTATTTGGTTTTCAACTAAGTTCTGTGAGTTATTTTTTGTGTTGGTCCTAAGAGGAGGTTGGGACAATGCTATATGCACGATTAAATGGGCCAGCATCTACTTTATGGTAGGGAAATCACTCAAAATGTGTCTCCTCGTAAAAGAAAACCAACGATATTATATTTGGTAAAAGTTCTAGCAACGTCATTTCAGGGTATTTCTTATCGAAACTGCACCCAACATGATGAGAAAAATGTTCTACGTGGCATGACATTCTTCGATTTGTGAAAAACAAGCATGATCTTTTAAAATTGATATTATTACATAAATTTCTTACCTTTTTCAGCCTTGTTTTCATCGAGGGCTCTGCAACGGAAGTGTCGATGGCTCTCATTTAAACAGATCACCAAAATGTGAAAGAGCCACCGTTTAGTAGGCGTGATATTATAGTCATAAGATGTTGCATGTTATGGTCCTTTTCATGTACAGTGTCACAAGGTAGTTCGTGAAACTTCATCTGCTAAATCACTTTACAATATATGTGAGTTGGGCCTGCAACGTTTTCAATTTTATCGTTTTGGACTTTCTTTAGGTATTCTTATTTTATCGCCACATCAGCGGGTGGTTCCAATATTCCTACTAGAATAATGTTGAATCACCCTTAGGATATGTTGCCTGCTTTTTAACTTTGTCTTTTGATGTTTAATCTGTGATATGCAGGCTTCATAATTCAAAATTATTCCATTTTATTTAGTTCCGCCAATTGTTTTCTCGTTTAGGGCACACGCGTTCTATTACTTGGGGACAATACACCGCTTTTCATTCGCAATGAAGTGTCGCATTGAAGGTTCCATGAAAACCGCCGTATGAACACATCTGCAGATGTTTTTAAATTCATAATTTTCCATTTCTTGTTTTAATGTTAAAAAAAAAGAAGAAATGGAAAATTATGAATTTAAAAACATCTGCAGATGTGTTCATACGGCGGTTTTCATGGAACATTTCTTGTTTTAATGTTTTATACCGCCTCCGTGGTCGAGGGGTTAGAGTCGATGACTTCTAATCCAGTTACCTCTCTGGCGTGGGTTCGATCCCCGGGAGATGCTTTGGTAGTTTAGCGCGGAGGAAGGTTGTCTAGTACTGGTGTAACTCTCCAGGAACGATGGTTAGGAAACTACCCGCCTATATGACTGAAATACTGTTGAAAAAAGAGGAGAAAAGAAACAAACAAACAAACAAATGTTTTAATGTTGCATTCTGCATAAGCCGGTGCTAGGGGGCGTGGACGGTAGTTTGCCCTTAACAGTACCGTCCATGAACAGGCTCAATCAAACCAAGCCTGCAACATTTTCAATTATGTTGTTTTGGGCTTTCTTTAGGGATTCTTATTTTCCATATTTTGGCTTGCCGTGTGTACACTAAAGCTCTGACTCGAGACAATATTCAATCTGAATTTCGTCGTACTGGTATTATTCCATTTTATGCTGATGCTGTTCCAAGGGTGTATCTTTAACCAGCAGAGGTGTTTCAATATGATGATTGTCAGGTAACTGTTGAGGGTAGTGTTCTTGTAGATGATTCTGAGGAAGTCATGTATGTAACTGTTAGTATGTTTGAAGAAAAAGAAAAGCAATTGAAAAAAAGTGAAATCTGAAAAACAAGGTAAAATAAGATGAACAAGAACAAAAAGGAAAGGCGCAACGTAAACCAAGAAACACTATGGGTAAAATTGTTGCTGGTCGTGAACGTTGTTGTAAAAATGAAAGAACGTGAAATTAGTCAGAAAAGGTTAAAAAAAGTCAACAAAGTCCAACGAGACACCTAAGAATCAATTCAAAATAAAAGGTAAAACCAAGTTAAAATCAAGGTCTCCACAGTCTGGTCCATCTCATATAAATATGGCTTTAGATTCAGATACTGATAGTGTGCAGTCAGACATTGACAGTGATGATCTTTGCTGTGTATGCAACAGGTTCACACCAGAAGAAATATCTAGGAGCACATCAGTCATCTTTGTAAAATGGGCAAAATGTGACGGGGTGAAAAATGGTTGCCACTGCAAACATTGGGTCAATTTAATATACTGTACCCCAGAGGTCTTAAGAGACGAGACACTTTCCTGTGTCCTCACTGTGTAACAGAAGAGTAAATTAAAATAACAAAAACAATTAAACCAGTTAGAACAGTTACATTTATTGTTTTCTTCAAGTTAAAGTGTTGTTGGAACATTTTTTTATTTTTTTGTAAAGACCAGTTAACCCATTAATTAGATTTGTGTGCCTAAAATGTCAGTGCATCTGCTATGTGACGTCATCGATTTCAAGGACAATAATGGCGGCCGTTTTGTTGACAGATAGTGTGATAATTTTTAAACTTTGTTGACTTATTTGATGTGCATAACTGATGAAAATTATTGCAAGAGTTAGCGGAAGGGTTATGTTATCAAAGTAAGTTACTGTAGTGTTTTTGTTGTTTATTTTTATACGGATCTGATTGCTTATGTCATCGGAATATGGACTCTCGAGGGTATGCAATTTATATACATTTTCAACAGAATATTGTTAAAACTAATAGTTTTGAAATGACATCAATACTGTGTCCTCGCTAGCCGAGTGGTCTAAAGTGTTGCTTTTCTAAGCATACTAATGACGATTCGCAACCGGCACCAGACTTATTTTTTATATCTATATTTTGTATAAAATCTTTTTTTTAAGTATAAATTATTTTGACTTCTTTAAGCTATTAGATGCACTTTAAAGCGGGAAACAGAGTTTTCAGGGAGAATGAGAAGAGCTTGTTCAAACCCACCTGAGGATATTTTTTTAAAATTTTATATTTTGTTGTGTTTGGTCAGATTTTGGTTTTATTTTTATTTTCTTTGAGAAATATTTATAGACTGCAGTTACTTTTTAATATGACATGAGTGAAAATATGGTGGTTTGACAAGTTAACTTATTTATAAATTATGCATGAAATTAGTGAAATTATAGTTGGAATTGTTCTAATTTTCGGCCTAGACAAGTCAACAAAATGTATTCAATGTAAGAGGAAATTGAATTTGAATTTCTGTTCAAGTTTCTGTCACATATCAGCATAGAGTCAGTGCTTAAATTCCATAAAACTTAAATATAATAATAGTGATATACCTATGATTATTTATATCCTGCTGTATAATATGAAGAAGAATTCACATACAGTTTTAAAGAGATAAAATTCTGGAAACAAAGTGATCCCTCGGAAGCATTAATCACAACAAAATAACATTAGAATTGCAGACTCGGTTTGATTGATGTACATGAGGGATAATGAATAAGTGCAACATCCCTCACGCCCCCTAGCACCGGCTTGAGCGGTACTCAAAGTTTAAGTTTGTAAGTTTGCGGGGTGACAACAACATCCCCGATTTGGTACCATTCGAGGGCTTACGTTAGCAGCAGTAATATCAAAACAAATCAGATTGATGACATTTAATTTGTAATAAGATTAAGTTTAATTCATAAACATTCACATTGTTTAATTTATCCCAATCTCAATATGATATGATATTATCAAATATAATGTAAACTGATGAAAATAGGAGTTTATATTTAACTTGCAATATACTTTTGAAAAAAAACAAATCATCAGAATTTCATAAACAATTGGCTGGAATTGAGGAACGTACTTTTGTTTGCAGGAAGGGCTTTCATGCACTAAACATACATGCAGTATGTGATTCAGAGCTGAGGTAAAGCAATTCACTACTAGTATATTTTAACGTGGCAAACCTTACGATTATTAAATTGTGTCTAAAGAAAAACCTACTCATGATTTAAAAATATGTAGATGTTCACAATCCAGTTAAAACTGTGGGTAAAGTATGCACAATATAACAGTTAAATTAACTTGAAATTTTTTCATCAATATTATACCTCATTTTAATGGAGTAAAAGTAATATCAGAAAAAAAATCACAAGTTGATTAAATTATGTGGATATTAAAAAAAGAAATGTGCAATCTAAGTTAAAAGTTTAAGTAATTCAATCTTTACAATTTGCAACATTTTTACACATTGGAATGTTCTTTGTTTTTGTTGCGTTTGTTTAAAGCAGCACGTTTCCAGATTCATCCTACTTTTCATGAAAATTTTGAAAAATATTTAAAGAAAAAAATATTGTGAAATGAGCAAAGAAAGTAATTAACACATTGCAATTGGCACTTATAACCCATGTAAATTACCAAAAAGAGGTCAAACTATGCAAAAATAGCCCCAACTGTGTTAGTAAGACAGTAGAAATATGGTGATAAATACATAAAAAAATACAAGAATGAAGATCAACAAGGCAAAGGCAAAGTTCACAGTACGCGGCCCCCGACACACTCAAGTAGGGCACTAGAAGGCAAAGTCATAAATTGCACATAAGATATAAATTATCACTTGAATATTTAGTCTGTCTACTTTTCTTAAAATTTTAGTACAGTTTTTCCAACTTAAACTTGTCTTGAAATATTGTGGCTCATCTGAAGGCATACACCTTTAAAGTTTATGTAACAATTATCAAATATCTAGAGGTGTGCGTCTTCTTATCAGATATAAACTCATTCTTTAAATCACATTTTATGATAGGGTCTGTAATTATCCTAACTGTAAGTATTGAGGACATACATAAATGCATTCATCACTTATGTTGCAATAATTTCTGTTTACTAATGATATTCCTAGGTTAACGAATATTGTTGTAAGATGGCCAGGCTTAACCCATGATGCTTTCATTCTTAGCAACTCATGCTTACAAAATACCATGGACAAAACAAATGGCTGGTTACTTGGTGACTCTAGATATCCCCTGACGAAATGGCTTATAACACCAGTATCAAACCCCAGTAACCAGCAAGAGGTCAACTTCAATCTAGCCCACACCCAAACAAGAAACACTGTAGAGAGAGCTTTTGGTGTGTTGAAAAGCAGATTCAGGTATTAATTCTTGCACAATTGTTTGATACTGCACTTGCAGAATTAATTACTTTTATTTAATTTCACCAATGAAACATGGTACTATATCAGTCACATTTACTTCTTAGGGAGTGTTTCTCTCAGAGCACCATTTCTGACAGTCAGTAGCTTCATCTACATGTATTCATTTCATTATCATAAATTGTAATAAATAATTAATCATCATTAAGATTTGTTAAAAAAAAATATTTTTTTGTATGCATATGATATATCAGAAAAAGATATGAAACATTTAGAAACATTTATTTCAATGAAATTTATATCTTTCAGATGTATGCACAAAACTGGAGGAAGCCTTCAATTTACTCCAACAAAGTGTTTGAAGATAGTAGAAGCTTGTTTCAAACTTCACAACCAGGCACTGAAGGACAAACTTCCAGCAGAAGTGAACAATTTTGTTAATATTTATCATAATGATGACATTTATGTTCAACAGGGCAACCAAACTGAAGGGCAAGCAATTCGACAGAGGCTCATTCAACGATTTTAAAGATTGTCAACTAGAATCAAAATAATGTACTTAACAATGTTCTTTATAATTTACATCACATTGTTCCACATTTTGACAGAAATTTGTAATCTCAAGTGAATATGATATTGAATTTTGTTTGTTTGGATTTTTACGGCACGTCAACACATAACTGGCCATATCGTGCCGAATGCTATAATAGGCTTAAAATGTTATGTTAAACTTTGTGAATGACAATAGAAATGAACCAATTAGATCCAAGAATACAAGTTTATCTCTTTCAAATAATCAATTATGTTTTTTTGATGGAATTGTATTAAAAAGTTCTTTGAGTGAATTTAGGCCATTATTTTTTGATATTTCGGTTTACTGACCCGCCGCATCCATTTTTTGGGAAAATGGAAAAAAAAAATCTGCCCGAAAAAAAAGTACTCAAAATATGCGGTAATCAAATTTAGATCTAAATGTTATATGGGAGATTTATAGAAGTCCAACTTATTACTTATGAGACTTGTCAAAGAAACGTCGAGATAATTTTCGACTGCGTTGTATTTTGCATGAAGAAAAATGTCTGCAAAATGAGTTAAACCATTCTCGCCAAATTAATTAGGTTAATATATATTTATTTAAAATATAATTCATGTATGTATGTATAAAATCATATGTTTGAAGGTCCAATTGTATAGAAATGTCAAAGAAAACAACTACAAAAAAAAAGAAAGAAAAAAGCCAAAATACGCAAGTTGTCACTTTCATGGATACAGCGAGAGAAATCTTATTCAATGAGAATCAGATTAAATTAAATTTAAAAAGAAATATAGTGACAAGATCACTATTTACAGATTTAACAAAAACAATAGTCTTTAAAAGGAGATTAGATAGGGGTTTCCTTTCAAACAAAATAAAAAAATGCACTTACTATTGATAATTTACATGTCAGTAATTGACCGCTAATTTTCCGATAGAAATATTTTTCAACTTGATTATGTCTATGTCTCTGACTTGGACAATAATTTAACATGTGTAATCTTTTCTTGACAGGTTTTTAAACTTCTGTTATATAAATAAATGAGTGCAAGTCAGTTGAGTTTCGGCACCTTTGATGATTCGGATTAAACAACTGGGACTACATGTGTGTGAACATCAAAGATTTACCGACTCTTTTGAAGGGTCGGCGAGGTCATCTCGTGTGTATATTAAATAATAGCAACATGATATTTTATCAATTTGTGGATGCTATTTTGTTGTTTTGTGTATTTATAAGCACTGTGGAATTTAGACAGTCGGTCATTTAATTTCTCTCGTAAGTACAACATACGCATCACATTTATCAGAATGGGAATGGACTAATCATAAGAGAAGGGATACTTATAAAGTATCTCACCTTCCAGACATGAAGATAATTATGAAAACTTTTTTCTTTTCCTTTTTTTTTTTTTTTTTTTTCCCTCCTCCGACCCTACCTTTTTTTGGAAAAAATCAGTAAACCAAAATATAAAAAAAAATGGCCTTACAGAATAAAATCTATTACGGGCCTGTGAAAAATCATGACATTCAAGAAGAAAATGCTTGACAGTAAAATTTTCATTACAACCTACACAGAAAGGGGCATTGTCATTTGTAAGGAGCTACGAATGGGTAATTTTAGTGTGTCCAATTCGGCATCGAAGAAGAAATGTTTGATCACGGCGGTTTGACAGAGATAGAGATGGTAACACAACAAGAGATGGGTTTGTATCGTGAAGTTTATTAAAAACGGCATTTTCCCAATTTGCTTTCCATTCAGATGATACGAGTTTATTTATAGCCGGTCTAAAATCACAAGCGGGTAACAATAAGTCAGTTTTTTGAAAATTTAATGATTGTTAGCTAAAGCATCTACTTTTTCATTTCCTCGTATTCCTATATGACTTGGAATCCAATATAATTTAACATATTTTGTTTTTTGTATATCATGAAATCGTAAAAAAAAGTTTCTTTACCATGATATTGTCAGATTTTTTTTATTTTTAATGGATATTAAAACAGAAAGCGAGTCAGAAAATATCACAAATGTATCATGGTTATGCTGTGCTATGTATGACAATGCTAAATCGATAGCTTTTGCTTCAGCAGTAAGAATTGATGCATTATCTGGAAACCTCATACTAGATGTAAAATTATTTTCAAACACAGCCGCACCTACTTTGCAACCTTCTTTTGAACCGTCCGTATTAATCACGCTTTTTCATTTAAACGGTGCTAAAAAGCAAGTATAAAAGACAAATTCTTAACATATCATGAAAAATATGTAAGTGTAAAATTATAAAAGTACAACCTTTCAAGAAATAATGTGCAAAACAGTTTGAACATAGAAAGTCCACCTTTCAAGAAATGATTCTTCATAGTAAGCATGTATCGATTTTATTTTTTTCGTAATGAATTGTCCGTTACGTGAAACAACATTAAAAACACTGCAATTAAATTTAACAGTCTGTATGCAAAAACCCATTTAAGAACTGTTCATGTAATTATATTCATTTTTCTTCTAAATTCTATCATTTACAAACGTATCGTTGTATCTATTATTGAATTCATTTGTGCCTTTTTACAACCATTGAAAATTATCGTTTGATAAAATGTATGCTTTAAACGCAAGTGGTTATATTTGTTTATCATAATAAACAATCAGAGTTGTTTTTATGTATAAAAATTGAAAGGCCTTTGTTGTAGAATCTGTATACAAACTTTAGAACATATAACTTGCCGTATGAAGCAAACATTTATCATGTCACCTATTATTACAAATAAACTGTGAGATATAACGAACATTTCATGCATACCATATTTAGACAGTTTTTATATGCGAATGTAATTGAAAGCGTTTGACCTGCAGTTTGCATATCCTTATATGTAATTTATAAATTACAGTGTTAAATTGGAATGCCGTTATTCATCCAGCGTTAAAACACTTATATTTTGCCTAATTGTTGTTAAGACTGTACACAATTAAAAAATAATATAAAGCACCAACAATATTCCAGAACAAACTTTATTAAACAATAACATGTTATTTAAAACTAATTTGAAAACTTTTTAAAGAAATATTTAACTATTAACATCTGAAACTAGCTTTATAATCATACATATGCTTTAATCTTTAATAATAAATGTTTGACATGTTCGATACCAACACTTTACTTAGCTACCTATGAATATCACTTTTTGACCAAAGTCATGTTATTAGCTACAATAAAGATGAAATCGGAATTAGACATACATTTTTCTCAGTAACTGTCACTTACTTATTGAAAATACTGCATTAAACAATTTTTATTGATAACGAACATTTCATAATTTAATGTGTTAAGACTGAAACTATACAGTAACAAGCTCAATCTATAGTTACTAGTTGTACAGGTTTGTCACGTGCATATATGTAGGCATAAACCAATGACGCGGTAACTGAACTGTTTTATGCAAATAAATTCTCAATTTTTTCAATATCAGAAACTGGTAAACTCAGCATTCGACCGGTCTTTCCAGATTTGACAGGCGGAGAAACCTTGCATAGTATGTCATGGATGTCAACCCAAATAACATCTTCACGTGATGGCCATTGGAACAAAGCCTTCTTGTTTTCCATGAATGAGATTTCAAATGTATTATCGTTTTTATCTGTATTAAGATTTTTTCCAATGTACCATTTACCGCAATATATTGCAGCAACAAAATCACCTTCCTGATAAATGTCGTTCGAAGATTTGGCCTGTTTTCTACTGGACATTGTGCTTTCTTCTCTCCAGGATTCACATGGAGCACCAGTCAACAAATCTGGCAATAGCAACTTGTATCACGCACCGCAACAATCCCATAATCTTTGCCAACGACTGCGTGTATTTTCATAGTTCCGGTAATTGTTTTTACAGGCAATTGTTCTATATCAACGTTTTTTTTTCTGACAACTTTCAGATGAGATAAATACAAATCGAACGTTTTTCATTGTGCAGGCGGACGACTGTGTCCACGCGTAAAAATCGGCCGCGTCTTGAATGCTAGTTTTTCCGGTCTTTACTGCTTCGTCGGCCATTCGTTTAACCGTGCCTCCCAAGCCATCACAAGGGCCCTTTCCATGACCCGCCTCCCAGTAATTCCACTTCGCTTTCACATGAAACTTCAGTTCATGACAAGCAACAAAATTAAAGATCTGTTTATTGCGATACTGGGAGGTCGGGCCATCGGTCCAATAATTGATGCAAGATATATTTGGATTAAGCTGTTTTATATGTGGAATCAACTCATCTATGATTGTTAAAACTGTGCTAGCATTATGACCCATTGTGTCTGACACTACAACTGTGCTTTTATGGTGCAGTTCATTTGAATCATTTGTTTTATAGTACACTACAATTGGGTGAAGTGTGACGCTAGTCTGGTTCCAATAAGCGGATTGAACCTCATCTACTGACTTGCACATATAATTCTCACTAAAATCCATGTGCACTATACACTGGTTACTGGGTAGCTTCTCCTTTAAGATCTTCATAGCAGCATACTGAGATTTAATTCTTTCAACATGACTTTCAAACTCTTTAACTTTTGTCTTTACATGTTCTGCAAATTCAGCCTTTGTCATATTTACTTCGACGATTCTCATTTTTAATTTCTTTTGGCCCTTAACTTCAACTTCTATCCTTTTCCACTGACTCACAGCAATATTGCCGTTAGTTATTTTGTTTTCAATGTCAGTTAGCAGATCATCCTTGTGTTCCAACATTTTCTCACCATGTATGCTAATGTCAATATTTCTCGCGCCTCGCTGCTTTCAGGGTAAGTGATATGTTTTGGTGTTTTGTACACAAACACGTATCTCTTGTTATCAATGATGTCAGCAGAATATGTGATGGTCTTATTCGTGTAAAAGATGTAAATGACAACTTTGTTCCGGGATTTTCACTCATGTATTTCTGGTATAGAGTGGCCAAATAATCTGTTAAGATTCTTTTTTGATTTGTGCAGCCATCTTTATCCTTAGAACAATCTGCTTTCCCTGGCATAACTCGTGAATTGTCATCTCTATTGAAAAATTCAATGACTTTGTTTCTATTTCTGTTTACCTCTCTTGAGCGTGTGATGCTTTGCACATGTATGCTTTTTGTTTTAGTACCAGAGAGCCTATTTCTGCTTATCCCTGTTTTATTACCAAATTTTGTTAACAGTTTATACTTTCTTAAGATATTCCCGGCAACCAAATTTCGAAGTACCTTTTTTACTTTCAGAGGAGCTTTTGATGAACTGTCTTTAATTTCTTCCACAAGTGCGTTTGCAAAGGTTAGTTCTTTTCGTACACTTGCTTTGTCTTTAGGTAATAAATTAGACTATTTCAACATTCGTGCCGCCTTTGACCTTGGCGTGTTTGGGCTGGCTTCTGCTTTTCTCTTTAGCCTTTGCATCGATCTCATTGTTGATCTATATTTTCTGTTCAACGTCTCATAGTTTTCTCTCATCTTATCAAGCTCTTTTTTCGCCCGCTTCAACTCCTTTGAAATCCGCATCCTTGGTCCATTTCTCCGATTAGGGAAGTTCATGTTGACCACAAGCCGCGAATTACTCTGTCCACTCTCGTACCCGCTTGTGCCTGGTGTTGCTGGTTGTTGCTCATGTTGATTTCGTGCAAGCTCTTCAGCCTGTCTTTCTTTGTTACGAAAAACTTTCAGATAATCTCTATTTTTTTTGTTACGTGCATCCCTCTCTTTGTTTGATAAAAGATGGCTTGGTGTGTATGACTGTTTCCTCCGCAAGCGTTCTTTTGCCAAATATAAATCGTTATTTTTCTCTTTAAGCCTTTGCCTATACGCTTTCTGAACCTCAGCTCGAGACTTCGGCATACCTGAAAATTAGGAAAAGAGAAATGTTCGTTACCATCAAATGAAATGTTCGTTACCACGATTAATGTTATTTAAAGTAATACTGTAACATACTTGTATTTTCGAATGTCATATTTCTATAAACAAAGGTAAAATGTATACTAAGCTAAATAAATACACTTAAATGATGTGGTTATTATAAGAAATTGTAAACTTTTGTATATTATATCAATATCTTGACTAAAGTATCTAATAACTCTTTTAAGTAATAATTTATATATTAATGTATGATATATCATTCAAATATATTATGTTTTAAGACGGAAATATTGCAATATGACAGAAAAAAAGTAAGTTTTAAACTTAAAATTACGTTTAAATGTCTATGAAATGTCCGTTACCACACGGTAACGAACATTTCAAGAATCATTTATAATATATATTCGTGTCCACTTGCTTCATAAACACTTATTATTTCTGTTTTAAGAACCTGGTACCAATATCTTTGCATACATATTTTATATATCTTCTATACATATGTAGAAATAAGAAAACTTTTAACAAAAAAATAAGCGACTTACCTTATTTTTGCAGATGATGATACGAAAAAATATATCAACTTTCAGCGTCCGTTGAAAGTCACTGAAACAATTCTTTCTTGTGATGTCATCAAAATCAATGACGTAATAAATATTATGCAAAACTATCATATTAAATTAATATTCATATTTTGATAACGAACATTTCGATCACGAACACTTCAATTTTTATTAAGGTCGATTATATAATTACAATATTTTATTGATATAGTGAAACTGCATGTTATGTGAATTCATCAAGCTTTAATCTTTCGCATTAAAACACAATTCATAGAGTTTATAGCAGCGTTAATCTGTCATAGGCAGTAACGAACATTTCATTTCAAAGTGGTTTACTCTACGTTGACTTTTAAAACGTGCTGCTATAAGGTAACTATAAAACATTTAAAAAAAATTTAATAGGACAAGTAACAACGATGAATTATACAAATGGTCCTTATATTAATGATCTTATGTCTGATCAAAGGATTATTCAAAACATCGTTACAAGATACAGTAACGGACAATTCTTTCATTTATCACGTAAATAAAGTTCAGAAAAAGCTGATTATTTTTTATATTTCATAAAAAGAACAGCATTTTTTGTCTATTTGTACAAGTTTTGAGTTCAAATTTATAAAGATAAAACACAACGCATTTACAACAATACGGTTTTATTTCTCATAAAAGTACATTGAATTTATAGCACCATCGAGCAGCGACGGTAACGAACATGTCATTTATCATTCTTTTAAGACAAAATTTTCAGACACACATTCGGACGTATTGAATTTTATACATGTGATTTTAAGCATACATGTCACCTTTCAAATACAAAAAGAAAAATAATCAAATTGATTTCTAGATTGTGTATTATTCTCCGGCGACATTAAATGCACCGTTTTATTGAAAATGCGTGTAATATGTATAAAATTTTCATGTTCTTCCTTAATTGCTAGAAACTTCTCTTTGAAATGTTCATGTGAATTTGATGACTGTTTGATATTTGAAAGGTTAATATTTATTTCAGGGGAATTATACGTCCAAGATGGAACATCCTCATCGTCATTTTGAAGGATATTGACAGGATTAATTTTAAGTTTATCTAAATCATCTTTTAAACGAAGGCCTAATGGTTTTATTTCCTTTGGTTTGTTAACAAATTTTTCAATATAACTTGGTTTGAAAATAATATTTTTGGCTGGATTTTTGCTATTTGATGAAATTCTAGTTGCATATTGAAGTGATAGCTTTTTTCGACGAAGTTGAAGCGATGGTTCCCCAGCTTCCGCATATAGACTTTCTACAGGTGAGGTGCGAAATGCACTTAAAGCTAAGCGTAAACCCTGGTGATGTATGGTATCTAGCATTTGAAGATATGATTTTCTTGCAGACTCATATACAACAGAACCATAATCTAATTTTGATCGGATAAGACTTCTGTATTATTTCAGTAATGTGGAAGAATTTTATCCCCAATTTGTACTAGATAAAACCTTAAGTAAATTTAAAGCTTTAAGGCATTTAGTTTTCAAATGTTTAATGTGTGGTATAAAAGAAAGTTTTTTGTCAAATATAATTCCTAAAAAGTAAATGGGTTGAACACTAAGCATGCGGTTTGTCTTAAAATAGTAGGGTCATAACCCTTTTTAATATCACGTTTAATAGTTTTAGTAAACACACCAGAGAAATTACAATGACCCATGATCTTACGAAGTTTGTAAACAACCTCCCCGTAAATATCAGGCTGGCTAATCCCCTGTCGCAGAAGTTTTTTTTAGATCACTATTGATTTTTTAAATTAAATCAAAGTTACGATTGTAAAATTTTGTAAAATTTTACGTAATTTATAATAGCGGTAGCCCTGTTTCAGTAGCTTACCGGTTTCGCTCGTTAAAATCCTTTACGTTGCTAGAAGCTCAAGCTAATCTAATTAACTGAGATATATAAACCACGTAAGATGTTGCATGCCGGACGTCTCCATCCAAATGAGGATAATTTACTATACTAAAATCAAAGTCATCTCTTTTATCATGAAAAGAGTCCTTTCTTTTATCTTTAAATCGATGAAATCGATACATTTATTAATAAAGGTAACTATTAGGAAAATGGCTGTCATGGTTAAAAGTAATGTCAATATGAGGTCTTAGAGCTGCACGCCTCCAGATGAGTGAAAATATTTCAATAAAATCAAACAGGAGAAAAAGGTACTAAGATTTTAGGAAAAGTGTAATGATTCAAAGTTCTAGTAATAATTTACATGATATGTGCGATTAATGACCGATTTTTCAGTATTTATAACCATATTTCTACTGCGTTATTTACGCAGTAAGGGCTATTTTTTGCATATTTTTAGTAATTTATGTACGTTGTAAGTGCCATTGATATTGTGTAAATTGCTTCCTTTTGGTTATTGCACTGTTTAATACTTTTAAAGACTTTTTAAAAAGTGTCATGAAAATAAGCCTGAATCTGGAGGCGTGCCGCTTAAAGACATGCTGAGTGTAACTTTGAATAAGATAAGCAGCTGTATATAAAGGATCTGTTTGAATAACTATACTATCTGCCTTCGCGTCAGATATGATAATGAAAGGGAAGTAAGACGTGATAACATTGCATGTTTACCAGACCTTTTTAAGATATTATTTAAGTCGGTGACAGACAGGGTAATTTTAGATTTACGTTTGATGTTACGTACTCCATGAGATCGGGATTTACGTTTGCGAATGTTCAGAATAGAAAATATATCACTGCAAGAATCTTTTTAGATGTTCCTTTGTTGAAAAAAATATTGTCATTTAGGCCCAGTGTGAGTTCTTGATCCACTTTAATTCTGCCAAGTGTCTAACTTTTTCTTTAAAACTAGCCGAAGCATCAGAATCAAATTATATGTTCCACTGGTTGAATTGAAACATTTTTAAATGAATGACCATCTTTACGAAAATGTTGATATAGTAAAGTTGTAAATTTTGTGCGATTTCTCACTTTATAAAAATGTTCACGGAATCGAATTTTAAGAGAACCTTCTGTCTGACCAACAAACTGTATGCCACACCCAGGGGTGTTTCAAGTCAAAACATAAACAAAATTAGTTGCCTTTTAGTAAATATCTGTATTTAAAATTACATTAAATGTTCTGCCATTGACATTAGAGCTTATTGTAGACCTGTGCGATAGGCACTTTAAAGTAAGACTTGGTAAGCACAATTAAGTGTTGAGAATTGAGTACCGCTCAAGCCGGTGCTAGGGGGCGTGAGGGATGTTGCACTTATCTATTATCCCTCATGTACAGACTCAAACAAACCGAGTCTGCAATTCTCTTGTAATTTTGTTGTGATTAATGCTTCCGAGGGATCACTTTGTTTCCAGAATTTTTGGTTCAACTTTTTCTGAATATCACCAACAAGAACAAGGTGTTCCTCAAGGAAGCATACTTTCTGTTACACTTTTTGGCCATAAAATAAACAATATTGCTAGCGCTCTTACGCCAGGCATATATTGTTCTCTATATGAACATGATTTTCTTATCTGCTATCGATCGAAAAGTATGAGAACAATTGAGAGGCAACTTCAACAAAATTTAGATAAAATTCAAAAGTGGGCAAAAGAAAATGGTTTTAAATTTATGTCAAAACCTCAATGTGTTCATTTTTGTAGAATGCGGAAACACCATAATGATTCTGAACTTTACATATCTGGTTCTAAAATTCCAGTAGTTGATGAAGCTAAGTTTTTAGGAATTATATTTGACAAAAAAACTTTCTTTTATACCACATATTAAACATTTGAAAACTAAATGCCTTAAAGCTTTAAATGTACTAAAGGTTTTATCAAGTACAAATTTGGGATCAAATTCTTCCACATTACTGAAATTATACCGAAGTCTTATCCGATCAAATTTAGATTATGGTTCTGTTGTATATGGGTCTGCAAGAAAATCAAAATTCTGGAAACAAAGTGATCCCTCGGAAGCATTAATCACAACAAAATAACATAAGAATTGCAGACTCGGTTTGATTGAGTCTGTACATGAAGGATAATGAATAAGTGCAACATCCCTCACGCCCCCTAGCACCGGCTTGAGCGGTACTCAATTCTCAACACTTTATAGTGCTGGCATCAATGATCCCGAAGGACCAGAAAATATAACAACACTGAAGTGAAGTACGGGGCAACTTTTTACAGCTGCCACACGGCACTTGACACCTGCTGTTGTGAAGTACAAAATTCTGGAAACAAAGTGATCCCTCGGAAGCATTAATCACAACAAAATAACATAAGAATTGCAGACTCGGTTTGATTGAGTCTGTACATGAAGGATAATGAATAAGTGCAACATCCCTCACGCCCCCTAGCACCGGCTTGAGCGGTACTCAATTCTCAACACTTTATAGTGCTGGCATCAATGATCCCGAAGGACCAGAAAATATGACAACACTGAAGTG